CAGACACCAAAGCAACTTTCTGAATAGCTGCACATAAGCAACACCATATCTGGTCTGCTCTTCCTCTGTAGGTACCAGATCTGCTCTGGGTCTTGCCTCTGCTGATGACATCACAATAGGGCAACACCACTCAGACAAACTGTATTGCATCCATTCTTTAAGAATCAAATCTCTTTGAGAGTTTCAACTTATTACCTACATTTGCTGTTAATTTACGTTTCTTTGGCGACCTCAGGTAGCCGAAAGTAGAAAACAATCAATCTCAGTCCTGAAGGCAAGTACTGTCTTCTAAGTCTGAGCTCTGCCATTTAATAAGGTGACACAAAAAGTCTCAGTACTATTTTAGATCTCAGGGCAGGGGAGTACAAATTTAACATCTTTATTCTACATTTGTACCAAAGTTTTACATTTAAATTGTTAAATTTTTTCAGCTTTGTTATCAATCAGGTAAAACTTCATCAGTTATTACACGCTAATGCTACAGATGCTCTCGATTCGGCACACGGATGCTGCCTTATGTTGTTGTTGTCCGGGTGACCATGATGTCAAAATTTTGATTAATTTTAAAGTAACTTATTAAACTACTCGAGTTTAATTATTTTTATGAACCACATTAGTTGGAATGATTTTTGAGTTAATCCCAGATGAAAACACATTTGTCATCTACAAACAAAAGCAACCTGTCAATATTATTGTTTTTTAGTTTTATTTTAGCTGAAACTCTTTAAACTTCATAATTAATTTCTTTCAGCTGTTGCAGATGTTTCATCATTAAACTCATATACAATGTTTTATTAGTTTTTTTTAAGGTATTGTGGATGATTTTTGTGTATTTTTTAAAGACCCTCCCTCTGCACTTAAAAAAAAAAAAGCACATGCACAACTCTGTGTACCTGCTCCTGAATGGGAACACCTGCTAAACGTGCGAGAGCGTGCACAAGCCCATTTCTCCTCGTTCACACTTTTTTTTTTTTTACGTTGATGTTCTCATAGCTCATACAAGCTTACTGTGTCCGAAGGTCCGCTCTAACCCCTAAATGCCTGAATCACTATATAGAGCAGGGACTATATAGTGGACTTTATAGAGAACTCTGTAAACTTATCGTTCGGACAGATGATCACTGCTTTTTGCTCCCCGTTGGTCACGTAACTCCTCCTCCATTGCGCTGTGCCTGCGTCATCTTTGTTATTAGTCATCGCTGTGACAGCAAATCCCATAATGCTTTCTGCAAGCATGCTGGGATATATCTGCCTCTTCTGAGGCCTTTCTTTTTACACTTCGTAGACACTTTTTCTCTTATGACCATCGGCCATTTTCAAAGAACGCGATGAGAAAGGTGTGCTTCAATGATTGTCCGAAACCGTAGCTCACCACATATATACACCCGAAAGTGCTCATGCACCGAAAAAGATAGCTAACGGGACGAGCACGTAGGACGGCGTCATGTAAACATATCACTAGGATGAGTGACAATTAGAAGGACCACTTATTTAGACGATCCATCCGGAAATAAGAGATCATACTCTATACCTTTACATAACATCTAAACCACTTATAAGTGCCTGGAATCCCATCAGTCTATAATGTGGTATGACAATAACCTTTTCTAATCTAGAAGTGATCCTTTTGCGTATTGTTACTGCTGCATTTATATCTAAATGATTTTAAGTAACACAAATGATGGAGATGTATTTATTATAATTCTGTACTGAAATCCAGACTCTGTTTTATTAAACTGTCTTTTTTAAAACCATGTATAAAGCACAATATTGTGCGAGAAATAACATGGACTTATAATTGTAAAAAGTATGCTTATCTTTAAAAACTAAATCTTTTCCAACTTTTTTTAATGGAAATTCCCCAGGTAGATTTATTTTTATTGTGGTTTTTGACCAAGACAAAGAAAATGACTCTAAGGCATTTGAAAAGAGATACTTTAGGGGCCGATTTTTAAAAATCCGTTGGCTTGGGGTCTCAAATTCATTGCTAAATAAAAATGTGTGCTATGCTAGCATAATTCTTATCGGGATTGAGATTTAAGCTGTGCTGTTAAGCTTAAAACAAAAGAAGATTCAAAAATAAATAATTCACAAAATAGATTCAAACTACTTTGTACCCACTAATCACAAAAAATATAGCTGCCATTGTTACAGGGAAAAAAAGGATAGGGTAGCTCCGCCCAAGGCACATCAGACTCACTTTTTCCACTGTGCAGATAGAGCAGCAAAGATGCTTCAGCCGCGTGTCAGAAATAAACTTGTACAAGCATCAAAAATGAAGCCGCTTACGTGTTTTTTGCGGCTTTTGCTGCTTTAGGTGAGAACGTAGCTTAACAGTGGCTAGCTTCCAGCCATGGCGACCTGCACGAGCATTTGGGGGGTCGATTTGTTCATGCGTCAGAGTACGCGCACATGGGGGAGGGACAAGCAGACGACCCTGATTAACGTGTCAGGAACCAATTGTGTACAACTAACAGTGTTTTGTGATTGGTGGGGTTACTCATTGATTTCTCACTGTAGCGGGACCATTTGCTGTGGGGAGATCTTCAAGCCACATGGTAAAAATTGCGTCAGAAAAAATCTCCTGTACTTTTAGGAGCAGGAGGAAAAAATTAATGAAAACTATCTTGCATATTCTTTTCTTAATAATTTGCAGCAAAATGGTAATGGTTGTTTTAAAACAGCCATAGGTTTTATGGACTAAGTAATGAGAGTTGAATGGGGTTTGGGGTCACCCTAAGAACTGGGATTCAGCGTCAGATTTATTCTTTTTTAATGGTTGTTTTTGACGCCTTCTAGTTTTCACAGTTGAGACGCTGCTTCCTCTCTGCATAACCTTTTGGGATGTTTTAGGAAACATTGTCAACAGTGTGACTGTCATTGCATAAGGCAAAATCCTGTTTATTAAAGGCCTGTCTGCATGTGGACAAGGTTTGGTTTTGTTATTTTTAGTGGTCACTGAGTACAATTCAAACTGTCCTATTTCAATATTATTTTGTGCACCTTTTTTTATTAAGGATATTTAGGTTAGTTGGATAAAAGGTATGGAAGGATTCATTTTAGCAATTAGGACAAACATCTCCAAAATTCTAGAAAAATGTAATTTAAATTTCTAGAAAAGTCTGGAATCAAGTTTAGAAAGATGGAGATTGGTAAAATAACGTTTTCAGATCTTATTGAAAAGAAATTTAAAACTATTTTTATTTATTTCTATATGAATGGTGTGCTTTATTTATATTTCTGACTTCCCACATCTTGGCTTTCAATTTTGTCCAGCTAATTTATTTACTTTTTTTTTTTTTTACTTTTTTTTTTAATGACAGAACCCAGAGATGAATCCTCAACAAAGGGAAATATCACAACTTTTTTCTCTGTTTTGCGGTGTCCTATATTAAGAGTGAACAACTACCAAAAATCAAAATGCTAACTTTTATTTATTTTTCCCCAACCAAATTTTTGGTAGCAGCTTAATTTTCCTTTGCACCAACAAAAGTGGCAAACCCTCCACCTTAAGAGCGAGGAACATTTCAGTGTTTAGCCCTTGTTAAATATTTGTCTGGAATTTAAAAATAGCGTTTTATTAAGAATATCATATACTACATTTTAACTACATTTTACAATAAAAAACATTAACAATGATGAGCCGTCCAGCGCATGTTTTACA